TATAGTCTTTCATGGTAGCGTGGTAGCTCATACCTTATATGTAGTTTCTTGATTGTCTGGTCATCCCCTACTATTTATGTTCATGCCATCATATTTTATGGCTGGTTGTCCATGATCCAGGTCTACCATTTATATTAATCTCGTCAGCCCTAAAAGATAATAATGAAGGTTATATGAAATGTACGTTGGTGCTCGGCTAGTATGGTCGGGTGCTAGTCATGGCCCTCCAGTTTGGGTCGTGACACTGTGGGACGGGCTTCATGATTTTTCAGCAAAAGGGTATTATGTTTCTCAATCACCAGAAGGCATGAGATCAATTCAGAATACTTTTTAAATCCCTTTTAACGGTATTGCTACTGTAATACCATATTTGAGGCATGAAAAGTTGTAAGAGTCTTTTCCAGTAAATCCTCATCATTCATAACTTCCCCACATAATTTCAATTGGGAAGTTATTCTAAATACAGCAGAGTTATACTCACTTACGGTCTTAAAATCTTGCAACCGTAAGTGCATCCACTCATATCGAGCCTTTGGCAATACCGTATCCTTAAGGTGATCATACCTTTCCTTCAGGCCAATCCACAATTCTAGTGGATCTTTCACTGTTAAATATTCAATTTTCAAACCTTCATCCAAATGATGACGAAGGAAAATCATGGCCTTCGGTTTGTCCTGGCTTGATGCCTCCTTACCATGAGTAATGGTGTTGCCAAGGCCTTTAGCAGCTAAGTGAATCTCAGCATCAAGAATCCATGATAGATAGTTCTTTTCAGAAATATCAAGTGCCACAAACTCAAGCTTTGACAAGTTCGACATAGTGAAAACTATGAAAGAAGATAAATAATTAGAAATTATTAGGATAATAGCGTAAAGAAACGATTACACTAAACTTTTCTGATTCTGTATGATATTTAGGTGAAAAACCAATCCATAATGAATGATAATGGTATATTCGTCTATACGTCTATTGTTCCCAATGTACTGGATAATGAAATTTTGTTAGCTCCTCTTAGCTATGAGATTATTACTTGGAATATTTACTATAACGTCATGAGATTCATGATTATTTCTGTTTTCCATTGTGTTAGAAGGATTATTTCTATTTTCCAAAAGATTTACACTTTTGTTCATCGATCTTTGTCAGTACTATATTCATGAATAAAAAAAATGATGTTCAAGTTTATATTATGATGAAACATCACAAGAAAAAATAAATAAATAAAGGAACCAGTATTCATTTGGTGGAATATACTCATATGTATATCTTGAAAAAAAAAATTATTTGGCTTGATAATTTTGACAGTAAATCAAAGAGATATACCTCGTAAGAAGTGGAGTTCAACCTTGAGGTTAGAGACTTTGTGCTGATAATGTGTTATAAAATACAAGAAATTTAGTAAAACATGAACAAGAAATAAAAGCAATTTAGTAAAACATGAACAAAAATAAAGATAGAGAAAAGGAAGAAATTTTCTTCTTCAATTGTGTGTATTTTCCTATCTATTACAAGGCCTTTATATAGGCATAAAAAGTGAAGAAAATATGTCATGGAATATGTCATTGAACATACAAAATATGTCATTGAATATGTCATTAAGCATTTGAGATGAAAATCATGGAAGAAGAGTAGACATCCACCATAATGTGATATTTATCATAACAATATGCTAAATTTAACCCATAAATGTGTAATTGGTCCAAATCATACTGACCTAAGCAAACATACTTTAGTGAAATTTTTCATTTGTTGATTTAACCTGCCATTTACCATTTCTACTAGTATTAACTTTCTTCACTTGTTTCTCAAGACTTTCGAGCATATCAATTAAGACATGGGAATCTGGATGATTCGAGCGAACTCGCCCGAACTATGCGTGGTAACTACCTAAAATGTGCAAATGCTACCATACTAAAGAACTTTAGATCAATAGGCCTCTGCAATATAATGTACAAGTTGATTACCAAAATCATTGTCAATAAAATCAAACTTGGTCCTGCCATCTATTATTGGCCCAAGCTAAGCTAGCTTTCTGTCTAATAGAAGGGCTGGTGACAATGCCATCATAGTGCAGGAATACATCAGCCGTTTCAAAAAAAAATGAAAGGAAAAAATGCCAACATAATCCTCAAAATTGATGTGGAAATGGCTTTTCCCATATTGAAATGGTCTTTCATTAGGGATACAGTGGTATCCTTTGGTTTCTCTAATAACATTACCAAGTTGATTCTTTCATATATAACCACCAGCTCTATCTCTGTCTTGATTAATGGGGGAAAGATTGAGTTTTTCTACCCTAGCATGGGCATTAGGCGGGGAGACCCTATATTTCCCTACATCTTAATCATTTGCATGGAAATGCTCTCTAGGAGCATTGAGGCTCAAGTCCAGACTGGTAATTGGTTCCCTACTAAAATCAGTAATATAGGGCCCAAAATTGTATTGGGAAAAAATTAAGTTTGAATATTGAAGATGACGTGTGATGACACGTGGACTGGTCAAAAGGTCAAAACGCAATAAATAGCTAAGAGGCACGGGCGACAACAGATATGGGGAAAAGAAAGCAACATAGGTGTGGATCATTACTAAAATAGGTACGAGTCTCGTACCTATTCGAGTCATTTAAAGATCAAAGATCGGAAGAAGTTAAAGATACGAATCTGATGACGTAAAAGAGTCTAAATACAGCATTAGATATCAAATACATAAGAGAATCTGAATTAAATAGAAATAATTGTGTAACGTTTATTTTAAATGTCATTTATTTCTTATAACTGCCTCATTAAGACAAAGGCATTACATCTTCTCCTAGAATCAACTATAAAAGGGGAAGGACTCAACATCTGTAAGGACAAGAAATATTATTGAGATTACACTGAAATACAAAATTACTTATTATTCTCAAAAGTCTTTTATTATTTTCGTCTCTAGATTATCAGTAACCCAAATTTCTCTATATTTCTAAAGCTTTGACCAAAGACTCAGATTTTTGGTTAAACAAATTGGTTCCGTTACCGGGAATCTGATAATCTTCTCTTTTAAGCTACATTCCAGTCGTTGTTATCATCATGTCAAATAACAATAACAGTGAAAACACCTTAGGAAACCGTGAAAATCAAATCCATCAAAATCAAGGAGATTTACAGAACATCGACGTGGTTCCCTCCCCTTAAAATTCACCACGTCAATCTCGTGAAGGCACTCCCGCTCCTGAATCTTGTGCTGATCAACAAGAGAAATCTGAACATTTTGAAGGGGTGGATGAAGCTTTACAAAAAGTAATTGATGCACGAGTTAACAAAGCTCTTCAGGCTCTAGTTAGTCGATTACCTGTTGCACCACCCACACCTACACCTAATAATAATACATTGGAGAATCCTCGTTCTGGCCTTGTTAATTCTGGAAATGGAGGAACCCCCAGTGAACCACAGGAAGGCGAACCAGGTAATTCAAATAATTCTCATTTGCAAAATTTAGTATTAACTTTGCAGAAACAGCTTAAGGAATAAAATGAGCACATCGAGCAAATCCCTGGAGTTCCCCCTGTAATTAAAAGAGTGGATGTGGATAAATACTCAAAACAACCTTGGAAACCAAGTGCTGCTCCCCTTCCAATCCCTAAAAAGTTCAAAATGCCAGACATCTCGAAATATGATGGCACAACAGACCCACGTGATCACGTAACTGCATTTACAACAGGCGTGAAAGGCAATGACTTGACCAAACAAGAAATTGAATCAGTACTGGTCAAGAAATTTGGAGAAACACTCACTAAGGGTGCATTAACCCGGTATTCTCTTTTACCAGAAAATTATATTAATTCTTTTGCTGAGCTTGCAAATTCTTTTATTAAAGCACACTCGGGAGCTCAAAAAGTTGAGAAAAGAATGGAGGATATTTTCAAAATCAAGCAAGGGAATTCCGAGTTGCTCAGGGATTTTGTTGATAGATTCCAACGTGAAAGAATGACTTTCCCTCGTGTACCTGATAACTGGGCTGCAATAGCTTTTGCAAGCAACTTAAATGACAAAAGCTCAGAAGCCACGAGAAGACTTAAAGAAAGCCTTCGAGAGTTTCCTGCAACCACGTAGAATGACGTTTATAACAGGTATAGTACGAAGTTGCGAATTGAGGAATATACCGTACCTCAGTTTCGTCATGAACAGAAGAGCAATTCCAGGAGATCAGAAACCGAAAAAAGATCAGGTAAAAACAGGTACGATCTATATATGGGACCTGCAGGGAAAGACTCACGATCAAAGCAGGATATTCAACGATATGATCAAAAATCGAGGAACAGGGAATCTGGTACTTCATCAAGGTTTAGAAATGATCGAAACAGACAAGAGTCACGAGATAATGACAGTAGTTTAAAGGCAAGGTTCGGTGGATATAACTTTAATGTCACTACCTCCGAGCTCGTAGTTGTTTTGAGGAGCATGGGAGATAAGGTACAATGGCCAAAAGAGATGCGGTCAAATCCAAATAGATGCAATCCAGACCATTGGTGCGAATTCCACAATGATCACGGGCATAAAACTTCAGAATGTAGATTCTTACAAAGTGAAGTGGATCATCTATTGAAACAAGGGTATCTCACTGAGTTATTTAGTGAGAAAGGTAAGCAAGCCTATATGAAAAATAGGCAAGAGCCACCAAAACCCCCTTCACCCAAGAGAATCGTGAATGTTATAAGTAGGGGTGAAGATATTCATGGTGTAACTTATACGGCTTCCAACAAGGTTTCTAAAGTAACGATAACACACGGGAAGCGGGTAAGGCAGGTTTTAGAAAACGAAAGTATTTCTTTCGATGATGCAGATACCGAAGGAATAATGACCCCACATAACGACGCACTGGTAATATCTTTACTTGTATATGATACTAATGTAAAACGAGTTTTTATTGATCCAGGAAGTTCCGTGAATATTGTACTATTAAGGGTATTACGTGAAATGCAAGCTGAAGACAAAATGATACCTAAGGCGCATACCCTATCCGGGTTCGACAATTCAAGCGTGGTAACAAAAGGAGATGTAATTCTAACAACTTTTGTTGCAGGTGTTGTTAAAGAAACTAAATTTCAGGTAGTAGATATGGAAATGACTTACAATATGATCGTGGGGAGACCTTGGATTCATGATATGGATGTTGTTCCATCAACTCTACATCAAGTTATTAAATTCCCATCACCGTGGGGAATTTGCCAAATTCGTGGGGATCAGCAGACAGCCAGAAGTATCAATGCTGTAACAAATACAAGCACCGTAAATAAAGAAAAATAGCAATTACAGAAAACAATTGAAGGTATCAAGGATTAAACCTCAATCGAACAAGAAAAGACAAATTTAGACTCGAGACCTGATACAATCCAGGAACCTAAAGAGAATGAAGATATCAAAACAACAATTGAAGAGTTTTAGGCTGTGATATTATTTGAGCAATGGCCTGAACGGAAGGTTTATGTTGGAGCCAATTTAAGCTCAGACATGCGAGGTATGTTGATTGAATTTTTAAAAGCTAACGTGGACTGTTTTGCTTGGTCCCATGCTGATATGACAGGGATACCACCGGATGTGGTAACTCACAAACTAAATGAAGACCCATCCTTTACACCAGTAAAGCAAAAGAAAAGAAAGCAAGGAGCTTTCAAAAATTAGGTGATTCAAGATGAGGTCCAAAGGCTATTAAAAATTGGGCCAATACGCGAGGAAAAGTATCCTAATTGGTTAGCAAACACAGTTGTTGTACCTAAGAAAAACGGTAAGTGGCGGGTTTGCGTGGATTATACAGATCTTAACAAAGCCTGCCCAAAAGA